ATTTTTTCAATAAAGGATATTAATAGGTATCATAAATTTGTATATATACAGATCAAACAGATCAAACAGATCAGATCAGATTTCAGATCAGATCAGATCGGATTTCAGATCAGGTCAGGTCAGATCAGATCAGATCAGATCAGGTCATGTCAAATCAGATCGAATTTCAGATCAGGTCAGGTCAGATCAGATCAGATCAGATCAGATCAGATTTCATTCAAATCTGATCTGATCTGATCTGTTAGGAGCCTCAGAAAAATCTTTACCATTATTTTTTAAGTCTCCAGGTACAGAACATGATAAAATTCTTTCTACTTCTTCTTTGGTATAAGTTAACTTAAAATTTTTACAATTAGCAAGGTGATTGTGACAAAGCCTTGCTTTATTTGAGGTAAAACATCCTGATGTTACTTGTGCAATAGCTAAACCTCTGACCCTTTTCATACAACAAATGCAAACCGCCTTTGCATTTGATTTATTTGTATCACTCTTAACAAGGGCAAAAAATTGTGACTCTTCTTTTTATTTGGCATATTTACATATTTATTTATATCTATATATATAATGTAAAAATTTTTTTTCTTTTTTAAATTTCAATTACAAATTTCTATTGGTCAAAATTTATGACCTTATGACAGACCACATGACCATTGGTCATCAAGGAAATGTGATATGACCTGGTCATAACCCAACACTGATTAACACTGGATATTACCTAGATAATATCCAGATCAGTCAACAATATCTATGATGCAGTTAAAATTGTTAAATTGAGACCATACATGCAGCCCAAAGTATTTTGACACTGTCATAAAGGGGGTTACACATGTCATAAAGGGGTGTTACACATGTTTTAATAGTGAGTGCCATAATTAATTTCTACTTTCTACCATCAAAATTGAAATAGTTTTTACCATTGAAATCACCAAACCAATTGGGCTGCATGTATAATTGAGACTGAATAAACTTCATAGACTTTGTTTGGCATATCTGTTTTTTCTGAAATGTTAAACTTAAATATATATATATATATATTTTCTAGTTATTTTCAAGAGGAATAGCCACATATAAAGTTAATTTGGAATTTATTTTGTGAATTATTATTATTATTGTATTTACTTTATTCTAATAAAATTGTCTTTAAAAAATATATATATATAAATTAATTAGACACTTCCTCCAATGTCTCACTCCCAGAATCAACTACATAAAAACACCTAATTCTCCTTCTTTTCCTTGGAGGTGCATCATCATCATCATTCTGTAATTATTTACAACAGACCATTTAAGTAAAAGCATAAAAATCAACCAGCAAACAGAAATAACTAAAATACTTACATCATTATTATTATCATTATCATTAACACTCCCATTGTCTTCATCATCCCCATCATATCCACTCTCCCCCAGGCTCCGACTCATCTGAATCTTCCTTCTGATCCACCCTCAACAACAAACTTTCAATTTCGCCCAACTCATCTTCCAACTTTGAAAATCTGGCCTCATTATTTTCATATACATTGTTTAGTTTTTCTACATCCATTTCGTTAATCACCTCCAATATGCTTTTTAAAGCATGCACACACATCCTCTAATCTTATTCCAATAAAACACAAAATAAAAATCTTGAACTTTTTGATTGAATTGGAATATTCAACAAGAATATGATTTACTTACTACTCCTGACTTCCGATAACCCGGATCAGTACTAAATAAGTTAATATTAAAAAGCAATGAAAGTTATAATGATTAATTAAATGATTTTGATGCTTAAATGATTTCTGTATAGTTCTTTAGTAGTACTTACTTCTTTGCTCTTGATCTTCTGATTTTACATTGTTTGAAAAAAAAAAGATAATTATTATTAGTTAGCAGAATAATTATAAACTGAATTTCAATTGTATCTCAATTGTATCCCAATTTAGAGAAATGAAGATCATATGCTAATGAATTTTCAAGAAAAACTAAAGTAACGACAAGTGGCGGGCGATAACCACCACCACCATCCTTATTCTTAAAACACTTACTCGTATGTGTCTTTGGTTTCTGCTTCTCTGTTTCTTTTTTTAGTATTTTTGAATCTGTTTGGTGATGACATTTTTGAAAAGAAGTTTGTGATTTGATCGACGCATGCACATTAATTTATTGGTTTTTTTTTTGGTAGGACAGACGCGAATTGATTGATTTTCGGAAAAACAAAAAACAATTTATTTTTTGACAGAGTCCAAGGTGACAAAACGTGAGTGTTGTTGTTTGGTTTGGCTTGGGTCTCCTAAAGAAAACATGTTAATAACTAACCAGAAGTACTATTTTTTACTTGTATTGATTGATATTTTGGTTATTATAAACTTTTTAATTGGAAATCAAATGCGGAGCAGATCTTGCTGGGTAATTACAGATTTTCATTGATAATATTGATAATATTTTGCTTTTCGTGATTATTAATATTATTAATAATAATATTATATTATTATAATCACAGGATGTCAAGGCAGCACGCCATTGAATATGAAACAATTCGATATACGATGTTTGATTATTGGAAATTGGCAAGTGTTGAAGCACGCACGCTACCTTGAACACATTACAGTCATTCTCACATATTCCTCGTGTACATAAGGCTAATCTGACCTGCACCGCCCGATGATACAATGATGCAATTAGAATTCCAGGGGGATGAGGCATGGCCCTGGAGTTTACCAAGACTGCATCAATTGTCAATGACGCTTTCACTAATCTTCCCTCACCAGAGATGGCCGCTGGTACGCTAGACAAAAAGTTGCTTGCAACGATCCTACCTCTAGGGTAAGGATGGCACTGTGATCAAGTCGCAACTCTGCTGATGAATTGTAATATTAGGTGCACATAAACATCCAGATCCAAAGCAACGAGAATCTGCAACTTGTCTCAAGCACAGGAGGTCACAATTCAGAGCAGGGTTGGTGGCCCTGAAATTGCATTTGGGCTCTGATGTTAAGAGGAAAGTTGT